TTACATCCTGCTTATTGAGAATGAACTCAATAAACCCCTATTTCCGACTTCACGGCTTCGCTGCCTTCCTGCCTGCTGAGCGATCATAACAAAGTAGAGTAGCTTTACATCCTGCTTATTGAGAATGAACTCAATAAACCCCTATTTCCGACTTCACGGCTTCGCTGCCTTCCTGCCTGCTGAGCGATCATAACAAAGTAGAGTAGCTTTACATCCTGCTTATTGAGAATGAACTCAATAAACCCCTATTTCCGACTTCACGGCTTCGCTGCCTTCCTGCCTGCTGAGCGATCATAACAAAGTAGAGTAGCTTTACATCCTGCTTATCGAGAATGAACTCAATGCACTGTGTACTGTCCTGAAACACAGAGAACAAGGAACAGTGAAAACATATACTTAGGTCTGACTAGGAGTGCAGCTCAATTTCTATGATCAAAACTTGAAGGTCTTACAGTTTCTAAGGGGTCATTTATGAAAACTAGGAAAATTCTCTACTTTTAAAGCGATGACAACATCACATGGTTTATAATGCATTCGAGAGAAATTACGTGTTTCCAACAACTACTGTATAATTCTACCAGGAGGTGCAAAGTGAGAGCAGCCAACCAGTCATTAATCCAGATAAATGAATTTGTAAAAAAAGAAATAGTGCAATCTGTTTACAATAAATTTGTCAAATTTGAACATTTTCATCTGACCAGGCGGTCGCCCCCTGCACCCCTAATGAAATCAACTATGTTAACCGAGTAAGTGTAGAGATCATCTCCAACACCTTCCAACTGAACTTTTAATTGTAATGCAAACTGATTTTTTCCTGAAGTCACTGTGTATTTTGCATGATGGCTGAGCAATAAAGATGTAGTTCTGTCCTCTCATAAGATACAAGGCTTTTGATCAGCTGGAGTGGGAACAAATAAAATAAATAAATGTAAATATTGGAACTCATTGTCTCACATATAACTCATATGATCAAGATATTATGGTTTCTTACATTTACTATAAGATATACTGCATATTCTGCATATTCACTCATTTTATTTCCCTCTCTTTGGAAGTACTTGGTCAAATAATCATGCAATTTAATAATTCGTCACATCACATACAGGATCTATGCTAACAATGCATAACATGAGGTGTATATAGAGGGTAAAAGGCTATGTAAATATTCATCAAAATCATAGCAGACATGTTCATTTCAGGTGTTGTAAAGCATTTGTAATCCACTTTTTGGACTTTTCTTTGTATTTTGTTTTACATGCGGAGGCACGTAGGTGCTTTTATTTTGACAGCGGCTCCGGGTACGTCACATTTGCATGCTTTCTTTTGTCCTCTTTCTTGCAAATAGATGGGAGAGGACTTGTGTGGAGCCGAGTACCTGAGATGCCGATTGCATGTGTGTTTCATTTATGTTTGAACAGAGGATTGAAGGAGGGCAGGGTGTAAGCCGAAGTCCTGTAATAAAACAAGGCCTGCTGTAAAAGAGAATTCGGCTTCTTTATTAAAACTTCAGAGGAGAAACTGTAAAGGGAAAGGGCGCAGCATGCCCAAACCACAGCCCGGTCACAAGGGGCATTGCAAATATGGATTTGCATTCTGCAGGGCTTATCTCCCTTTCCCTATAGCTTGACTAAGGAAAGAGGATAAGTAAACAAGAGTAAGTATTCTCAAGTATTAGGGGTATATAGCATTACAAACAGTTATGTATAATAAGTGACCTGGATGTATACCAGTCTTCAAAACACTAATTTGTAATGTAGTTCATGTATTCTGAATATCCTACTGCATACATAGCAGCCATAGTGTAGTAAAAATGACGGATGTTAATTAGTAAGCTTGGCGACCTTTGATCCTTTTCAATACCTTAAATCAGGAACTCTGGATTAAAGTGTTCCAGGACTATAAGGTAGTGGGAACAAGAGAACAGACAGAGAATCACCAGTTCCTCATAACGTGGATGTTTCTTAGGTCTTGTACTGAAATGCAGAAGTTTCCAGAAGGTACGTCGGTTAGAGCTTTTGCTTTGGCTTTGCCTCTTTAACATTTCTTATGATGTATACTACAATTTAGAAGGGTTCCCATCAACATAGTAATAATCTATTAGGACATTCTCTTAAGGTACCCAGTGTTCTCCTCAGCTGGTGGAGTAGACTTGAGTAGAAATGCCTGAAATGTTCATCAGGATCAGTATCTGTGATTGTCTGATGTCATAACCTTTTATATATATATAAGTTTACAATATAACTTTTAACATTGTAGATGGTTCATTTGAAACCGAAATACTAAGGTAAGAGTTAGAGACAGCTTGTGGTTAATTATTATTCCATTTATGTTGTACATGTCAGTTAACCGGCCTTCCTCAGCTTCCTGCCTTTGACTGTTTCATTTTTAGGTTCTTCCTTGGTAACATGGATTGTACATTTCTTGTATTTTGCACTTGTTGAATGTAAGTTTAGATCTTGAATAAATATTTTGATGAGCTTTTATACAGCTCCAATGTTAACTTTAATTTATTACAGGTCACTCATTGGAACCTCAGCCTAGTTGCAGTTAAGATGTTTCCTTGACAGCTTTATGTCTTTGATGTATGATCTGCCTCACTTGTATGTTGCTTTGGACAGAAGCATCTGCTAAACAAATATAAGTGAATATAATAGTAAAACATAAATTGTAAAAAATGTTTTGATTCATTTAATCCAAGACCAAACCTACACAAAAAGTTACTAAAATATCCGTCTTATTAATAACTCCACCTATATCAGCAGATCTACTGGCAGAGCAGAGCAGCGCACTGCTGAAAGACCAAGAGGTGCTTCCATTTGCCAGCTATCCCAGCATGCAATTCTCCTCAGTGGACCCACCCATGCCCTCACCACCATATTACTCCAGTCCAAACTATTATTCCCAGTATGGCGAGGACTGGTACACTTCCTCGACGATGTACGAGCTGCGGAAAGGGCTGGTGGAGAGCAGCTATGACATGCCGATGGAGGAAAATGCTCCACCAGTGTGCAAGCGGCCTAGGCAGGCTTCTCATGGCAGCCGAGTCAAGGGGGAGGAGCTGTGTGTGGTGTGTGGTGATAAGGCATCAGGCTACCACTACAACGCGCTTACCTGCGAGGGCTGCAAAGGTAGGAGATGCTGCTCAAATGGGTGAGGGATGTCATGCCTTTCAAAGACTGATATTCATAAACCCATTAAACCCTTGAAGGATCCATCGGTATTCACCTGTTATTTAATGCACAATCATACATAGCTCAGAGGCGTCCATTAGTGTTGCGCGGGTTGGCTTTTTTTAACACCCTCCCCAAACTGACCACTCAGGAGATCCAAACCGCCCCGCCTAACCCACAAAAATCCATCAATCCATCCATCCATCCATTGTCCAACCCGCTTATCCTACTGGGTCGCAGGGGGGTCCGGAGCCTATCCTGGAAGCAATGGGCATGAAGCAGAGAACAACCCTGGACGGGGGGCCAGCCCATCACAGGGCACACTCACACACCATTCACTCACACATGCACACCTAAGGGCAATTTAGCAACGCCAATTAGCCTCAGCATGTCTTTGGACTGTGGGGGGAAACCGGAGCACCCGCAAAAATATGCGTGAATAATGACCCAAAACCCGACCCGACCCGAGGAAAAAAAAAACACCAGTGAGCCTGTATTGCCGTGGAACCTACCAATGAAGTGTCATTTGTGACACTGTAACCCATAGATGACATAGATTTGTGCTAGATTCGCATTGAACAGGGATCCCCTAGTTCTGGCAGAATAAATTTCCATGACTTTTCCAAAACTTTTCCAGTACCACAAGAAAATTTTCAAAAATCCACAAGTTTGCTTTGATTTGATGATCATGCAGTTTCAGATAGTAATTGTCCTGCCCCGATCGTCCGCTCCTTCTGTGTGCCACGCCCCCTCGTTAACCCTGTGTGGAATCCCCGTGTGATCAGCTGTTTCTGGTTGTTGTCATTAGTCCTCTGTATTTAGTCTGCGTTTCAGTTTGTTTCCCCAGTCCGGTCATAGGACTGGAGGATATGGCAAAAATTTATATCACGGTATATTTCTTAATTTTGGTCGATACGATATAATTCCGATATCGATATGGACAATATTAAAAAGCCTCAGGAAAAAACTGCCGAGGACACACACAATGGATGTCTGCAAACTGAATTTGCAAAGTCTATAATACCTCCAGGCTCCTCCTATTAAAATTATATAATTTTTTTTTTAAATAAAAACAGTACAAAAAAAAATAAGGTTCATTTTTTATTTGTATTTAGCCTTTACAAACAAGAAATGTGAAATAAACTATCAAATGAATAAAACTCTCAGACTCAGCTTATTAACAATAATATATTTCCAATTAAACTAAAACAGGCTGATTATTCATATACTGTATATTATATGATACAGTACATATGTATATCGAAATATCGGAAATGTGTTTAAAAATCATATCACCGTTATTGAAAAAAATGATATCGCGATATATATTGATATCGAATTATTGTCCAGCCCTATCCGGTCATTGTAATATCACTGCGTGTTTTCTTGCCTGCCCTTTTTATTAAACCCCGTGTTCCCCGATTTCCTGGCCTCAGCTCCTCTGTCTCCGCTCCGCGTCCCCATACGGCAGGACAGTAATAGCCTACTACAATTTTCGGTACAATAATGCCAGTCTGCTTACCTAATAAACACAGATGGTGGACAACTTTCGCCAATGTGCAAATAGTGTTCAATTATTAAGAAAATTAATCCCAATATTAAAATTATACGTTCCTTATGATTGGTAAAAGATTGATCAGTACTGTTGGACTCAATATATGTACATTCATTGCTCGGACTGTGTGTTTGTTTGTGTCACCTTTTATGTAGTTAGGGAACACGCGTGTATATTAAACACTTATTGGGGTACGGAAAGTTTTGTCCCGTGTATTGTGGAGGCGAAGGTGTCTGCTCGATTTTAAATGTGTTACTGAAATTGTTCAGTGAACGCCGCGACCGCTACAGAGTGGTGGCCCGTATGGGGAGACTTTTCAGGAGTGTATGTATTGTTCCCACGTAATCTAGTGTTTGTGAAATATGTTATACCGCGTGTGTTGGTTATTGTCTTAATTTACCGTTTCTTTATATTTTGTATTGGTTTATTCACTTCATTGTTTTCATTTTAATGCGTGTTGTCGATTGCGCTGTATTGTTTTTGTATTTGCGCTGTTATTGTATTTGTGTCTCTGTGTTTGTGTAGTCCGTGCGATATGCGTTTGTGTTTGGTAAACGATAAAACGATTTAAATGTATTAGGGTTGCCGCGGTGAAGGTACCATGGCTGATACGAGTGTACAGGGTAAACAGAATGGCGCTGAGGCTGAGGCGTCTCTTACTGCGGTGCCTCCTACTGTTACTGTTCGCACTGTTTCCCTAGGAGAGGTTACTCAGGTAACCGACCTTCTTGGTAGTATGTATATCTCGGAGGTGAAGGAGGGAGAGGGTGAAGAAGAGGAGGAACAATTAGGAGGGATGCAACAGGCCTTGGAAATGGCTAACAGTAGGATTGCTGATTTGGAGCAGGATCTTGTGGAGCTGCGTGAAGCACAACAACAAGCTATAGAGAGGGAGATATCCTTAAGGGAGTTCCTTATAGACCGGATGAAGGCGAATGAAGAGCGTGTGGAACAACAACTAGCTACCTTAGAAAAGGCTGTAGTGGAGTGTCTGAAAAGGAGGGATGAGCAGTGGAAGAAGGAGTTAAGCCGTGTCCGTCTCACCAGTACCCCCAGTCGGTTCTTGGGAAACCGAGATAGCTTTCAGGCTGAGGGCCTTTCTACTATCAACCCCCGCAGCACATACCTTCCTATTAAGCCCCAGTTCCCTGAGTACAACCCAGGCAAGGGGGACGCCCTCGCTTTTATTGTGGCATGCGAGGAGTTTTTATCTCTCCATAACCTGTCTGATTCGGAGGTGCTGGCCCTGTTGTATACAGTCCTGCAGGGTTCTGCCCGCAATTGGTGGAAGGCTGAAAGGTCTGCCATAAAGACATGGCATGAATTCAAGGCTGCTTTTTTGAGTGCTTTTTTATCTTCGGGTTTCCAGGCAGAGTTGGAAGAACAGTTGCGAGCCAGGGTTCAAGGACCCCAACCCCAAGAAAGTATCAGGGACTTCGCCTATGACTATCGTGCTCTCTGCCTAAAGTGGAAGCCCGAGGTGACTGAGGAGGAGGTGGTACAGAAGACTCTGGATCATGCCAATCCCCAAGTGACTGTAGTCATGCGAGGGGCAGTGGAGATGGTAGCTGATATCGTAAGGGTAGGGACTCTCATAGAAAAATACCGCGCCAGTCAACGGGACTATTGGTCCCGGGTTCAAGGGAGCAAAGAGGCACGACCCGGCCCTAAGAAAAGGGGGGCTATGGGGTCTGAGGCCAAGAACTCTCCGCCCGACCCGGTATTGCACATAGCGCCTCCAGCCCTTATGGCTATTGAAGTCGTGGTGGGGAAAAGGAAAGGTCCAGCCCTTTTGGATACTGGCTCCACCTTCTCTCTTATCAGTTATTCAACCTATAAGGTTTTACGGCCACCCTCAGGGAGACTTACTCAAGCACCTTCCCAGCAGTTTGCCCTGGCGGATGGGGCGCAAAAACCTGCCCTCGGCTGCATTCTGCTACACCTCAAGGTGGCAGCTCAGTCACTCAGTATTTCATTTTATGTATTAGCAAATGAAGATTTGGCGTGGCCTATGCTTTTAGGATTGGATTTTATGGCTAAGAGTCGTATCCGACTGGACTGGGCTCGGGGTCGCTACAGTTTACCCCCATATCACCAGCCCCTAGCCTTCCTGAATAGGATCATAGGGAAGGGGGGTTTTGGGGAGAACACTGAGCCAGTCACCCTTTATGTTCCTGTGGAGCTCCTGGAAGGTTTGCGGAGTGGTCGTGCTGTAGATCTAGGCCTTCCCTCCTCAGTGGTAAGCAGGCCTTTAGTGAGAGCTTCGTGCCCCTCTCCATCATGCCAGGAACTGCCTAAGGGGATACAGGAGTTCCCCAGGGTGAGCCAGTTGTTAGGAGAGTTCCCTTCCCTGAAGTCAGCAGTCCTAGGCTATACCTCTCTTTGCCGCCACTCCCTCACCCTAACTGACAGTAGACCGGTACACAGCAGCCCTTATAGGGTTTCGCCTTGTACATCGGCGTGGGCTGCACCTGTGGTCTTAGTTCCTAAACCAGATGGGTCCATGAGATTTTGTGTGGACTTCCGCCAGCTAAATAGCAGGACTGTGTTCGATGCCTATCCCATGCCGCTGATCCATGAGATTTTAGTCTTTTAAGGGGTCTAGTGTTTTTACCACCCTGGATTTGCAGTCAGGATATTGGCAGATCGCAATGGAGCCCGGCCAGAAGGAATTGACCGCCTTCACTACCCCTCAGAGATTATTTCAGTTTCGTGTTTTACCCTTTGGCTTGAAGAACGCTGCAGCCACCTTCCAACGGCTTATGGAGAGGGTTCTAGCGGATCTGAGGGGCCATTGTTGTTTTGTCTACATTGATGACGTGATTATATACTCCCCAGACTCTACCCAACATCAACTTGACCTTCGGAAAGTATTCCAAAGGCTTGAAGAGGCCAGCCTCACTCTCAACCTGAAGAAGTGTGTCTTTTTCAAATCTTCCTTAAGGTTTTTAGGGCACATAGTTTCAGGTCAGGGGGTTACTGCTGACCCAGAAAAGACAAAGGCCATTCTAGAGTACCCCATCCCCAAGAACCTGAAAGAGTTGCAGAGGTTTCTGGGGCTAGTGGGGTGGTACCACAAGCTTGTTCCCCATTTTGCTGACCGGGCAGCGCCGCTGTATGGACTGCTGAAGAAGGGAGCAGTTTGGGCATGGGATGACATTTGCCACAACAGCTTCCAAGACCTGAAGAATTCGATGGTACATCCTCCTGTCCTAGGCCATCCAGACACAGCCAAGCCTTTCCGACTCCACACCGATGCGAGTGAAAAGGGGTTGGGGGCGGTTTTAACCCAGGACCAAGGGGAGCGTGAAGTACCCCTCACATTTGCTTCAAGACTTTTAACCGGAGCCGAGAGGAATTACTCTGTCTCAGAGAAAGAGTGCCTCACAGTAGTGTGGGCAGT